CTCTCTCTCTCTCTCTCTCTCTCTCTCTCTCTCTCTCTCTCTTTTTTTCCCCCCATATCTATCGAATTAATTTGGAAACAAAACCGCGAGTTAATTCAAGTTTCTTAGTCTTTTATTTATCAGAATAGTTTATTCTTTTTTTTTATCAGTTTTTGTTGTCTTTTTTTCTTATTTGGAGGAAAACTTTTCTATCCCTCCTTTTCAAAAATTCAAATTAATTTGTGCTATAAAACATAATTTACCGATAATACAAATCACATTGCTTAAAATGTAAAAATGATGATTATTCATTATTCTATTTTCATCTCATTCTCTACTTAGGAAGCGGCTCTCGCGGAAGTGAACGGCGATTGGATTCGGACAAAGGACGCGTTCAAAAATGCTTACGAACAAACAGAGAATCCATCGATTAAAGAACTCTGTTTGCAAGGGTTATTTGAAGCTGTAAATAATCTATGCGATTGGTCGATGATCAATCAACTCGTGAAGAAACATGTAAGCAATGGAGATTTAAACAATATCTGGAACGATGTATGGATGATCCCATATTTCTGCGATAGTTATGTATATACACAGTTCAAGCAATCGAGCAAAAACGATTTAACAGTCATCAAGTCCTGGATGAAAGATCACGATAAATTGCAACGTCTTAAACTCGCGACGGGCGAAAATCTAGTGTTATTTCTGCTGCAAGGAAACGAGGTGAAAGAGGCGACTGATCTGTTAAATGATCTTCTGGATATGACGGGAAAGCAATGGATCAGTTTGAGTCCTCTCTGCATCGAGCTGGGAATACGAGAATTGTTCAAATTACAAGCTATGAATAATCTCTACACTTTGCTCAAAGTTATTCAATCAAAGAAAACAGAATATCTAGATCAATTTGTTGCATTGTTAGACTTTTGGTCGACAAAAGCGCCCACGATCCAAGATAATATCATACAGTGGAACAAATTAGTCTTTTATCGAACGATTTTCTTGATGTCGCTCGAGGACTATATTACGCGTTGGAGAACTGAAGAGGATGATGATAGTTGTACAAGAGAAATCGAGTATCGAATGCGTCAAAACAATTGTCAGCTCCGACTGGATATTATCAACGCTGCGTTGAATCAGAAACACCAATACATCGCTAAAAAACATTTGAATTATTTGAATAAACTCAAACCATATTCTTCCAAATATATTCCTTATCTGGAGTCATCATTAGCATGGCTCGAAGCTAGACTCGAATTTCTGTGCGCCGATGTTGAGACAGACATTTCTAAGAAGATATCCAACTACACTGCTTCCTGGGAATGCTCGCATCGATTACTGAACGAGAGAGTTAAACTCGACACCGAACGAAACATCGCCATCAAAGAACACATCGGGATGTTAGCTTCGAAAATCGCTTTCTTGAGCAAAGAAAACGTCGCGTTTGCAAACGTATTAACAGGCACAACTACTATTCTGCAAAACATAGGAATCACAGAATCGACGAACATCGACTTGTATAACGTTCAGGAAAAATTATTACGCTATAGCTTGGACAATTTACACGAATGCTGCGAGCTCGCGGAGAGGACTGCCATCGCTAACGCCGGCGAGCACCATTGTGTCCTGGCCAAATATTGTTACAATAGATTGATGAGCATCGATGCCAAGGACACGGAGATATTTCTTAAATTTTTGCGGTCTACTCTAAAATCCATGTGGTACAATTATTTCGAGGCTGCGCATTATTTCCCTTGCTTACTGAAGCCTGAATGGTTGCAGAACGATGAGACGCGAGAGACGTTTGTCAACATGTGCGCCAGGTTGCAACCGTGGCTGTTCCTACGCTGGCAGGATCTACTCTTTTCTCACCTGGGAACACCGTCGATCGCAATCGCAGTCATGCCGATCATCGAGAAACTAGCCGAAACTTATCCCGATGCGATCATCTACACATATCATCTTACCATTGAGAAAAACCCCGAGATTCTTCATGATGTGAAATTCCAACGAATACGTTCACTTTTACACAACAAGGCGGAAGAGTACAATCGTTTTATACAGGCAATACAATACGTGGTGCAACCGAAATTGTTGTTAAAGCATTATCTCGACGAGACAATGAGGGATTTATCCTGTGAAAAACCGAAGGCTATCGAATCATTGTTACAAAAAATGGAAAGCGATATGCATACGGCAAATAAGAGCCCGCGACCGGGTAAGATCTTTAAAGAGATTTTGATTAACTACGAAGATGAAATAAAAGATCTCTTGCTCTCTCAAAATTGCAATGCCATGCGAGAGAGGATACAAAAAATTAAGGTATCCCTCCTGAGTGGCAGGAGGCGAAACGTGAAACAACCGAACAACGTGAAAAAACTGAAGGATTACAGTCCGTTCTTGCACGAATATATCGGCGGCAACGATGGTATCGAGATACCTGGACAATACACCGGCGACAAAGAACCTGCTCCGCGTTATCACGTGAAAATCGCAAGATTCAATCCACAAGTAGAAGTCATGCAATCGTTGCGCAAGCCAGTTTGCATCACTATGATAGGCGACAACGGCAGGGAGTATAAATTCCTTGTAAAATTCGGCGAAGATCTGACGATCGATCGAGGTCTGCAGCAGCTGTATTCCACCATAAACAGAACTTTACACAACAATCCCGGCTGCAGACAAAGGCGCTTGGCCATCGACACGTACGAGGTAATATATGCATGATACAATACGTTTATCCAGATCTAAATATCTAATAACGCGTGAATTTTCCTCCTACAGGTGATTCCGCTATCAAATACGTTCGGTCTTATACAATGGATTGAGAATACGAAATCCCTGGATGATTTGATAGGATTCACCTTGTCGAATAACGAGATTGCTGACTGCAATAAAATATGGGATAAGTACGTGAAATGGATAGAAAACGCAGCGACTGTAAGGCAAGGGATCGCCGACCAGTACAAAGCAGCCGTGTCCAAGTACGACCAACAGACGGTCACGCAAAACATGAAGCGTCTGATCGGCCAGACTAGGCGAACAGCTCTACGCGACGCATTTGATGTGATCAGCTCGTCCCCGGAATGCTTTATCACGCTACGACGTAACTTCGTTGTGAGTTACGCGACTATGTGCGCAGCACATTGGCTCGCGGGGGTCGGCGATCGTCATTTACAGAATATCCTGGTGCACGTTGTTACCGGACGTTGCCTGGGCATTGATTTTGGACACGCTTTCGGCAGCGGCATACGCGCACCTGTACCGGAACTCGTGCCGTTCCGCCTGACGCCGCAGATACTCGAATTACTGCAACCCTTTACGGAACGGGATCTCCTAGCGACGACCATGACCCACGCGATGCGAGCCATGCGCGATGATCAAGGCCCAATCCTCGCTTGCATGGACATCTTTGTTCATAAACCTGCCTATCGATTATTAAACATCGATGATGATGATAAGACAATGAGGGACAACGAAGGGATTGATGCAGGTATATATTAATATAAAGATATTTTATGAATTTTAAGACGGTTATGAAATATTTGATGAGTAAGTTTAGCTTGTTATAATGAGATACACTTGTTATAAATATGTTATAAGAATTGTATTAGAATTATATATAGGAAATATGTATTTAAAGAGAAATATATACACTGCTGATCAAATATTTGAAACATCACATATAAAATTTAACAATATTTCATTAATAATGAGATCACTTTTAAGTAACCATAAAATAAACCTATCATTTAGCATCATTTTTATGTTGCATCATCAAATCCATCTATATGCATATGAGAAATAATTTTTCCAATTTGCAGATTTAACATGGTCATCCAAGAAAAATATCGAGACAGTTGCAAAGAAACTAAATGGAATTCACCCATCAGTTATCACTTTGGAACAATTGAAAGAAACACATAACGATGAATATTTTACGAGATATCAGGCCATTGTCAGCGGCAATGATGGATTGGACAAACAAGCACGGGCAGATATGAGAAACGATTCCTTGACACCTGCAGAACAGGTAATCTTGATTCTGAAAACAGGAATTTTTTAATTTTTTTTTGTAGTCCAGCGTTAATGATCGATTATCTTTCAGGTTGATTGTTTATTAGATCAAGCAAAAGACTTGAATGTCTTAGGCCGTATGTATGCAAATTGGCAACCTTGGTTGTAATATTGTCCAATATTTATAAAATATAAATATTACAATATTACATGCAAACTATCAATGTTTTAGAAATAGAATATAAACTGTATATTTCAAAAAATTTATATAAAAATTTTATATATTTATATCAAATAATATAAAAAAAACTGTTTTACTATTAATTGGATAAGTTAAAATCATGGATAATTTTATATATAAAAGATTTCTATTTATAATTCTCTTTATTAACATAAATAAAATATTTTCTGTATTATAAATGTAACTTATGTACGTCAAATGTATTAATATACTTAGTATGTATTATACTTAGCAAATAACTATTATTTGTAACTATACAGGATATGTTTGGATAAATTAGAATTCAGAAAAATTA